TGCAATTTCCCAGCATTCACAGTGATGTACCTTCTCTCAAAGAAAATTGCATTTAAAGATGGAAGATACAGAGACTGTCTATTAAATTTGGTTTTCTTTTTTTATAATTCTAGAAGTTAAATCTAGGACTGCTTGATCCCATGTGTCATGTACAAATCAAGTAAGGTCATCCCCAGGACTAAATATACTTGGTGAATATTCACCAATATTCATGAAGCTGAAAACACACAGAGTCATGCATCAAACCAGTGAATAAAGACTTAATTCATGAACTGTCCATGACAATCGAGTGGTGTTTAGGAATATTTATCAAATATCCAAGAAGCTTCAATAGAGACAAGAGAGTTACACACCTAAAAAACATAAGAGAAAGAAAAAGCAGCAATGGAAGAGCAAGAGAGAGGAAGTGGATGCCAATGAACATAAATTAGGAGATGGAAATCGTAGAAAATTGTCAGAGAACTGAATGAGCACATAAAATGGTACAAGTTAATCACTGGAACAAGAAAACAGAACTGTCACAAACAGTCTAAAAAGGCAAAAAACTTGAATTAATGAAAAAGTTCTATGGGGGAGGTCAGAGGATGTCTATGTACCATAGATGATAGTGGTGTAGTTTCAGCTCCAGCCAGGATCAAATATTTTAGGCCGTGCCTATCAAATTTGGGATATTATAAGATAAGCAGGCCTGAACAATTTATATCTAAGGGGTTTAAAAAAGGCCAGAAAAGATCTGGACCAGTACTGATGATTTTGGATTACTCTCAGAAAACTGGGAAAGCATCCAAGGGTCAAATAAATTTTCCTGTTGTGCCAGCACTTTAGAAGCACAGTGATCTCAACAGGCTGGCTGGGCTGATGCTGACCACAGTACAGTAATGAAATCACCAATATGGAGCTTGGATAGATTATGGATTAAAGGTGGATAATAAAATTAACCACAGTCAACACAGGTTTAAGGAAAAATAGACATCATCAAACTAATGTGCTATAATTTCTTAGGAGATTACAAGTCTGGTTCACACGAGTAATGATGTTGGTATGGCTGGAATGATAGGAAAACATCATGACATACATTAGCTGGGAAAAAAAAATGGCTAAATAACAAACCTCACATGGAACAGTAAATGGGGGCTCATTCCTGAGCAGATGTACTTCTGTAATGCACAATTCCTGCTTTTTTTCTTTATTTATCTATCACAACCTGGCAGAATTTAAGAAAGAAAAAAAAATCACTGATGGATTTTGCAGTCAAAGAGTATTTTTGGGAGAACAGAGAAGAAATCACGAGGACAAGTCAGAGAATCAGAACAGCATGAACTGCTTTGGAAATGCAAATAATATGTATTCCAGTGTGAACAAATAGGGCAGCATACAACTGGGAACAAAGTTTGTGTTCCTGCTAATAGGAGGGGATTTTCTCCCTTCAGAAAAGGAGACACAGAAAAAAAAAAACCCAACCAACTAAGGCTGGACCCAAAGAAGAAAGAATGAAGCTAAATTAATTGATAGGGAGGTGCTGTGATAGATTAGATGGGCTACTACAGTGCTTGGCTGTAGGAACTAGGAAATTTCAGGCTGTATTATCCCTGAAGCAGTGATATGTAGAGTAGTAGAGTAGATATGTGGAGTAGTAGTCGAGTAGATATGTAGAGTACTGTGCCCTGTTCTGATGTCCACCACTTTTAACAGCTGCTAAAAACCACTGCACATAGATTGTATTTTAAGGATAGATTTGGGGCATATTTTGGCACACGCTTCTCATCACTATCATCCCCCCCCCAGAACAACCACTGCCCTCAGTGGAATTAATGTCTCCAAGGCCAGGCAGGTGGCATGAATTCAGTCCTTGCATGAGGAACCTCCCAGAGGGACAGTGGCATCATCTCCAGCCACTCATGGACACAACTGCCTCAATGATCAGAGAGAGCAGGAGAAGTTGCTCACTGGTTTTATTTGCTAGAGAACTGCCTGGTTTAAAAAGCTGATGATTGCTAGCCCAGAAAAAAGTGACTCTTCTCCTAAATTCATGCTCTCATAGACTCTGGCTGACATTTCCAATATGATTAGCGTTCACATTACCTCAGCTTTCAAAACATAGTAAGCTCTTAGCTTTAGGAAGCTGCCTGCTGAAGATGCCTCAGCTCAAGCTCTCCAAAGGCACCCATCACTGTGAGAAACAAATGATGACAGATGAGACCTAATCACAAAGTCAGGGGAAGAGGGACTCCCACCAGGACAGATGGTGCTGAGCACAATCTGCTCCGAACGTCTGGGAACCTGTAACCTCCTGTTGCCAGCAAGCAGTTGGGAACTGGACCATCAGGAGGCTGAGTCTGCAGCCCTTCTTGCTTGTGTGTTCCAGGGCATCAGCATTCATCAACCCAAATTACCTCCCTCAGTTCTAGGAGCTCTGAGGGGAACAATGAAGGAGAGTGTTGACTTAAGAGTGTTTGGGGGTTTTTCTAATCCTTTCTGAACAAAACACGCTGAAGGTAGTTGGGGGAGGGAGTGTGTGAGAGGGGAGAAGTTCTGGTGATGTCAGCTCCTATTGCCATGGAAACTGAACATTTTTAGTGACAATGGAGTCTTCCTCCTCGAGCTTCTGGGTTGCGTGGGGAGCAGGGGCAAGCAGGGCAGGGGCACATGAGGGAATTCAGCTAGCTAAAACTATAGCTTCTGGCTTTCCAAAGAAGCCAGGAGAAAGCTACAGAAGAATACCTGAGGACATGGTTTATGTAACCAAACCACCCTCTGGGGCAACAGCAGCAAATAGTCACTCTGCTCCTTGAGAAAACATGTCATGCAGCCAGGCAGATGGAGGGATCTCAGCTACACAGGAATGTCCAACACAACTCAAGGGAGAGTTCTGCACTTTGCTCTTCCATGCTACAGTTTATTCTTCTAACCTTGGCTGCCTCCTTGGTGGTTATTTGGAAAGGGAGAAGGGGAGAGAACGGGCTGGGAAGTAGTCTTTATTCTTAAAATTGAGAGAAGCTGCACTTCTGGGCAGTGCACTACTTCCTGATATCATGGACACCTTCTTGAGAGCCCAATTTATGACCTTCTTTGTGGGCAACGAGCATCCTGAACCATGAGAAGAAAAAGATCAGTGTCTGAGCAGGACCTACCCCACTGGCATGGAGAACATGCAAGACCCAATGCAGGATGTCTTCCCTTGGTCAGAAGGGTGAGGCAGCATCTGGACTCAGAGCAGGTTCAAGTCATGATCCAGGTGTGGGACAGACCAGGGTAAAGCTTGAGGTTTAAAATTAAAAGCCTCCAGTCTGCACGTCAGGGCAAGTTTGAGCCTTGCATTTGATTTCAACAGTGCAGGCAATTTTAATGAATTTCAAAGAATAATGAATTAATAACCATAAGCTTTTATAACTCAAAATACATTCTGTAGTCATTAGTTCTATATAAGTAAATGGAAAAATCTTTCCTCAGCAGAAGTCTTCTGTGATCTGATATTCTAATGAGATTACTATCAGCTCAGCCTGACACCTCATGAGGACAGTTGTATAGAAATCAGGAAACAATTTTTTTTTTTTTCAGTTTTGGCCCTGAAATTAAAAATCCTCCACACTTATTATTTTACATCTAAAGGAGTTGATTCTAAGGCTCCTTGGCATTGAAAGGAGTTCAGATATGAGGGGTTTTTTTCCTATCAGATGCACAAAAGACACTCTCCTCAAATTTCTGCCAGCAATAGCAGCAGAGAGAAACATGTAAATGGGGTTTACTCCCTTCTCATCTAGACAGCATAGATTTCACTTGTTTCCTGCATGGAGCAAGCACTCGAGCTCACCCTCTCTTCATTTAGCATCACCCCACTGATTTTGTCCTCTCTCCAGGTAGTACCATTCACATCCCATCCCTACAGGGCCACCAGGCAGAGGGAGACCCCCAGTGCCTGAGCCTTTTACCCCCAGACACCAGCAATCCTGTGCCCACCTGGAGCAGAGCCTTCCCCCCTTTCCTCCTCAAAGGCTGCTGTGGTGGAGTTTCACTTTCCCTGCATCTAGTCACCAATTTTGCCACCAGGAGCTCAGGCTGGAACACAGAACAACCTGTTTTTTCTCACCACCATGTGGCAGGTGCTCTAACTTCCCCTTTCCTGATGAACTCACAGCCCTCACGCTGGGCCATCTTAAATCAGATGCTAATCACAGCAGGCTCAGCCATAAGAAAGGTCTCCACATCTCATGCACACTGGATTAATTCAGAAAAAGCTGCAGCTTTCATCTGCCCATCTTCCTTTCATGCACATGCTGGCCACAAATCAGACTTCAAACTTTTACAACTGAACTGGGTTTTGAAAATCACTCGTTTGTTATGAGAACAGTAATATTACATGTTTATTATATTTCTGAGGTTTTTTTACCATACCAAAAGGCCATTGAAAATGGACAAATTCCAAAAACCCACATGCCCACTGCTACCAGGGATGGACGTTTTGCTGTGATTCTACAGGCAAATCCTGGTAGACTTTCCACTTCACCCATGCAAAGGGGAAATTAGAGCTTCACCATAGCAACTTTGTTGTAAAAAACACTGAAATGTCAACCTGTCCCCATAGTACCATGGGTAAGGCCAGTGCAAGACAAAGACAAAAAGCCGAGGGTAACAAAACCCACATTCCTACCTTTGGAACACTGCTGCTAGAAATAAGAAGCCAGCTTGGTTCTGGTAAAGGTTACACCTCTTCCACTCAGATATTTTAAAAAATAAATGTTTCTGGGCTAGCTCTTTAGCTAGTACAAATGAGCATCCTCTACTGAACTCATGTGAGATACCTGCACACCAGCTGGGGAGCTCAGCTACCTTGTTTACTGGTTTTTTTTCCATAAACTACTAACCCCAGCATGTCTGGTTCCAGTTTGGCAGACGTACTGGAGTAGCAGCAGAGTGGAAACTTTCGCCTCAGTTACATAATTTCTGTTCCATGCAAGACTCCAGCAAACACAGGAGAAATAAGCCAGAAACTGTTGACCTACCCAGCCATGACGATGAAGAAATCCAGGCGGTTCCAGGTATCTCCAAGGTAACACTTCTTGCCAAAGATCCCCAGGGCCACCATCTTTAAGACCATTTCCATGGCAAAGAAGATGAAGATGAAATCATCAAATACCTGCCAAACAGAAAGCCAAGAGCACATCTGAGAAGCATCCTCAGCCTTAGACTTTAAAATGCAAAATGTGAGAGAAATACAGATTTCTGTCCGATGACAACCTTTGCTGTCACCTTCTCTTTGGGGAGGCAGCAAGCACAGCTAGTGCTGGGTGTGCTCGTGGCCCTTCTTGACATACATTGTTTCTTCTCCCTTTGGACACCCTGGATGCCACATTGCCTGTGGACTCAGTATTACCCTTGCTCCTCAACAGTGCAGCAAATGCACTGTAGGCTGCTGTCCTCTCCTGTCTGGATGCTGGAACCTTTGGTATTTCTCCCTGGCTTACTCCTGAGCTACATATCTTGTGGCTGTCTGTCAGGAAACCACAGCTTATGAATCTCAGGAAGGTTGGTGACTGTTCTATCTTGCATGGCTACAAGTAGATTTCACTATCTCCTTCTCAAAGCAAGCTCTTGCCATTTCACAACAGGACAGCTTACTGACGGAGATGTTCTTGTCTGGGAAGATGTAGACCCCATGCTGATGGAAAACATGAAAATTGGTGACTTGGACCGAGGCATCATCACAACAAGAAGGAAGTTTGCTTACCTGCAAGATTTTACACCTGTCAGAAAGGCAGTCCATATCTTCACAGGGCTGGTACATCCCCAGGGTAACACAGTTTAACAGGATCACCATCATGCTGACACACTCAAACCAGGTGGAAAAGAGTCAAGGAAAACTTCTGCAAAAGCATCACGGCTGAGAGAAGCTTGCTCTAGGCTTGGGGTGACAAAATAGGAAGAATAAGGGAAATAACTGCTGGTAAACTTGATTTATTACATCCTTATGTTTTTCCCCTCTCAGTTCTTCCTACTCCACTCCTTGATTAAGCCAAAACTCTACTGAAAAGGGGAAAGTAGAGGTAACAAAGCTCTGAGGCATCTACACAAGTCAAATCAATCATCGTTATATACATACTCCTCTCCTGTTGGTTTTCCAAGTCCCATCCCTCCCTGGTTTTCTGAATCTTCCAAATCTCTCTCTGTGAGCCTGGTGACTACTGTAGAAGCAGCTACAACACAAGGCTAGAAGTCTCCTTCTTCCCTTCTGAGAGGAGCTAGGAGATAAAGAGCTGTCACACTGGAACAGGTCAGTGGTCTATCTAATCTGATATTCTGCTTCCAGCAGTGACCCACGCTGGAGAAAACTCCACAATGTGCCTAATTAAGTGATGCAGTAACCATAGGGGGAAACTGCATTTTTGACCCCAGCTGGTGATTGGTTTGTGCCCTAAAGCATGAGGACTGATAGCCCTTCTAATTGTTTTCTCAGCTACACTTGAGTCCCTGCAGAGGTTTTGCTTATTTGTTTGCATTCTTTGTTGATAATCTTACTAAAATATTTGCTTCAATAATAGTTGGAAGCCATGAGCTACATTGGCTAATTATACTTTACATTAAAAATTGTTTCCTGCTATTAATTTCTACTTTGTTGCTTTTTAATTCCACTTAATTCCTTCATTTATATATTGCAGAAGAGGAATGGACCTCCATCCTCTGGCAGAACCATCCTTCTTGAGATGGCTCTCACACCTCAAAGGTATCTCCTGGGTTTCCATTTCCAGACAATTTAAAGAAAAAATAAAATAACAGAGCCAAAAAATTATCCATTTAAAATCCAGTGCAGCATGTGCACTTGTTTTCAGCCCTTGCTGAACTGAATCCAAAACAGGGGCCTGTAGCCTGGTCGCTTCTGAAAGACACTCAACATCCACGGCTCGTTGTGAGCAACTCTTCTGTGCCCATCCTCTGACAGTGATTTATGACTAACCCACACAATCTGATCTAGAAGATTATTAATTCTTTCTCTTCTCCCCCACTTGGTTTGCAGTGAGCTACCTTCGGTTGCAAAATCAGACAAGAGCAGGGCAGCAGCTCTGCTGTGCCAATCGTGCTAGAAGGTGATTTCAAGACTGTGTTATCATTGTCCCTCACTAAGTTAAGCCCAACTGCTGTACAAAGTCATGGACATGGAGCCCACCCGCAGTGTAGGCTTCAAAACCAGAGGCCTTTTCTGAGAGAAATACACCCAAAGGGCACAAATAAAATGTTTGCCCTCAGATGTCTACACAACATCACCTCAACTCTCCACTTTTGTCACTCTTACATATTTCTTTAATGATCTGATCCAAAGCCCAGGAAAGGAATTGAAGAGTTTCCCATTAGCTCCCATTGGCTTTTCAGGTCAGAGTGCAACTCTGACCTGGACCTTTCAAAACCTGTTTAGCATCATCTTCCACAGAATTACAGAACTACAGAATGGTTGAGGTTGGAAGAAGCCTCTGGAGGTCACCTTGTCCAAACCTCTCTGCTCAAAGTAGCATCAACTACAGCAGATTGCTCAGGGTCATTTCCAGTTGGGTTTTGAGTATCTCTAAGGACAGGGACTCCAGGCAGTCTGCTCCAGTGTTTGGCCATCTATGCAGTGAAAAAGCCTTCTATTACATCTGAATGGGATATCCCATGTCTCATGGCTGTGATCACTGCCTTTTGCCCTCTCACTGGCCACCACCAAGTAGTCCATCTCCTTTACTCCTCCCATCAGGGACTTGCACATATGGGTAAGATCCCCCTGAGCCTTCTCTTCTCCAGGCTCAGCAGTCCTAGCTCTCCCAGCCCTTCCATTTTGCAGCAGGTATTTTGACAGCCCCTGGAAAGGCAGCACCAGCAAAGCCCTGATGGTGGAATCAGCTCTGAGGGGCCAAAAGAGTTTTGGTGTGGGCTGAGCCAAGAGCTGCAAAAGTCAGGATGTTCCCACACCCCCTCTGCTCCTCTTGCAGTGCCCCTCCCCAGGCCTTGCAGACCATGGTGGGTCTTCAGGTAGCTAGCAGGACAACAAGGCACAAGACCTGGCCACACACAGTGAGCACACCAAAAACGTTGCAGTTTGGTCTAGGTGCACAAGTCCCTCATCTTTGGGCTCAAAAAGCTCTGGCTGGCCACACTCCATTTCTTCCCCTCCTGCTTTTTGGATACCAGCTCTCTGAAGGTTTCCCCAGGATGCTGCTGAATCTCTGCCTGCTCCTGGGCTATTCAAGGGACACCAGGAAAAGCTGCTGTCCTACACTTTTCCTTTCAGAGCAGGCAGGGACCCTGAAAGGGCACAGCCACCCTGCAGCAGGGGGGAAGAAAGCATGAGGAACAAATTGAAGCACCTCCTGCCACGAGGTGGGATGGGTTGTTGCCTCCTTGGGTCAGTGGAGGGGGTAATTAGGAGTACCTGCTGTCTCCAACGTGTCACTGCTGTCCACCACAGGATGTGGCTCCCATCACCAGGGAAACAGCCTGCAGCCAGGTCCTGCAGGGTTCTCTCAGGGATGCCATCCCCTCCCTGCCTCCAAACCCCCTCTCCCCGTGCCTGAGCCTGGAATTCACTCCAGCTGCTGACAAAACCAGTCTTCACAATCCCCATTGTTCAGCCAGAAGCTGCAGTGCTAATTAACTGCTTTCAAAGTTCGTATCTTCTAATTACAAATGAACCCTCTCATGTGCTCCCCTCTGTCCAGGTCTTTCCTTGGTGCTGCTCTCCCTTCCCACAGCCCCACTCCCAACACCTTTCCCAGTGAGGGCTGGGGCCTCCAAGAGGTTTTGGAGACTAAAATGAGACCCAGGAACTTCTACCCATGATCAGCTCCTCTCTCTTGCACACCACAAGATGATTCAGAGGAAGGTCCCAGAAAACCCCCAGTAATTTCCTAGGGAATAACTTGTCCTTAGAGAGAGGTTTGATGGTGACAGTTCACAGCTGGCTCAGGCCCTCAGGGATAAAAGGGTCACAGGACTCATTTGACAAAGGAAAAACAACAGGAAAAAAAGGGTTTCATGACTCCTTCAACCATGGGCTATTCTCATTAGCCACATAACTGCCTCCTCCTTGTTAAAGTCCTGTTAAGCTCTTGGCTTCAGCCCTGTCTTGTGGCATCAAGATCCATATCTAGGTTAATTATAGTTTGCCTAAACCACGTTTTCTTGTGCTGGTTTCATAGCTGGTGCCTGCCTGTGGCCAGAGACAGCCACCATATATCCATTGACCTCCTCCACGTTTTCCAATGGACAAGGAGACTCAATGGTGACATGCATCACCAGCACACACCAAGAAAGAACCATCGCCCTCTTCAAATTCTGCATCCCTTCTCCTTTTTCTCCTTCATCAATAAGCTGAAGAGTAAAAGAACACCAGGCACAAAATGCTGCCCAGTGGTTGGCACTCCTAACAGCACAGAAAACAACCTTGACAAGCATGACAACCCCTCAGCCTTTCCTGCTGCTGTCTCCAAACCCCTCCTAGGGTATTGCCTTGTGCCAATCCAGAATATCTTGACATCCAGAAGACATCACATTTGCATGATCACTCCTCTCCTCATGATCACTCCTCTCCTCACCCCACCATCCTTCCCACCAGCTAAATGGCTTCACCTTGTGATTCCAGTTTGTGGTGCTCAATTTCTTTCCCTCCTTTTGAAATCCTATGAGGACAGTGCTGTGTTCCATCCCCACTTTTCTCCCCTGCTTCATGACCCTCCTGCATGAAGCCAGTAGGATACTGTAACTGTGGTAGGAAAAAGTTGATGTTCACCTGATGTTCACTCAAAGGAAAAATAAATCTTCAAATGGGTTTGTATTCAAATAGATAAAAACAATCAAAACATTTCTCAGAACAAAAAGCTTTTAAAATCCTGTTTTGGAAAGGCTGAAACAATTCTTCTTTGTCTTTTTTAGTGCAAAGAAACATTTCAATGTTTTCTGACTTGACTTAGAACTGTTCCCATGTCATGCAATCTCTTGTACCTGTTTTCCTCCATCACATCATCATTTATACACCCTTCTCACAAAGGAGGAGCACCTAAACCATGGACAGTTGACAGGCTTTGCTAAGAGCATCAATATTGTGAAAGACCTGAAGACAAGGGAGGACTGCAGTACTCCCAAACAGGGCAGGACTGTTAGGTTGATTTGAGAGGCACTAGGGAAGACTTAGACAACTTGTGATGGTTACTGGAAAGCAGGGCAAGAAACTACAGAGGGGACAGTAAAGAGATTTTAAATGCTTGGCAATGTTTCCATGTTTCTGTCCTTTGAAAGGGGATTTAAATGAAGAACAGTCATCAGAAAAAGACTCAGTGGTACCCATATTAAATCAAATAAACACCAACAAAGCAGCATAAGGCAGCTTCTCTGGTCAGTCTGACTTCCCAGGACTGCTCAGAAAGTAGGTCCTGAATCAGGCTGTACAGTCTTTTTTGGCTGTGTAGCTCAAATTCAGATTTAGCTTAGAGACTAACAAGAATAAAGTCAGTTGTACTTCACCTGCAGTCAGGTGATCATTGAAGGTGCCTTTTGGAAAGTTCAATTTTTGCTGTTTTGTTTTTTGATTTCTTTCTCATTACAGAAACCAAATGAAGCAAATAGCTCATTTCTTAAAACTCTTTCTATAATGATTTATTCAGACCTGCTAATTGCATCCATTAAACTCTTAAGTCCAGTAAAACCAAAACCAATTTAACCTCTGGCAGGAAAAATGTACAATGGAGATTAAGAGGCTAAGAAGGAATCTGAAGAGCAAATAGAGAGAGGTATTAATGCAATGAGACGAGTCTTCAGATAATTCAGAAGGAGGAAACCAATGAGAGAGCTCTGACA